AAAATGCCTTTCCAATGATACCTCACTAGTCTGAATCGGAAGAGTTAAGGTTCAGTTATTAAAGTTTTTCTTATACCAATCTTTGAAAAAAGTTAAAAAACAGCATCAAAAATCTCACTATTACGATTCCATATTTTTTTTTTTTCAATATTTTTTTGTTAATTTTTTAAGCTTAATCCGTTTTGTCATTTGAGGGCATTTTTTCAAAAAACATCTTTAAGAAACTATTTTTATTCATAAAAAACTCCATTTTTGGAGGTATTTTCAAATCGGTCCAGGTCGCTTAAATCTTAATATTTTTCCGAAATATTTTGGTGGACGTCTTGCTCATATATTATGTAATAGATTTTACAAGTCCATCGGAAAAACAGTACCCTTTTTTTTTGTATGGGGAGTGATGCAGTCTAATGTATATGTAAATGTACATACGTTATTTTCATTAATGTTGCACATTTTTTATTTTGTTTATTTCGCACGTTTCGGTTCACTCGAACCGTTATCTTTGGATAAATTATCTGAATTTTTCCTCTTTCCTTGCGTTTGCACTCTCGTCACAGTCGTTCCTCCACCACTGAAATATACATAAAAACATTTAAATAGGTTATATTAGTTGAGAGTTTGTTTGAGTTGTGTTTGAAAATTCCAAAAAAAAATTAATCCTAATCCTTCCAAACAGGGCTTCGGAGCGGAGTGGAGCAAAGCAGCAAGGAGCAAAAAAATTTTAGCTGGAGCGGAGCTGGAGCAAAGAGTTAAAAAATTCATTTGCTCCTTAGCTCCCTAATATAGAATTTTCAATTAATAAATTTACTTATTTTTTTTTTGCCACCGAAAGCAACGATGTTAAATAAACTTCCATTCTATTTATTCTACCTGGCAATACAGTTCATTGCACAATAGGGTGGTCCAAAAAGACATGCGGGAAAAAAATTTAATATGTTAAGCTCTCACCCCCTAGAATTTTTTTCTGAATGGAAAAAAATAATACCCCTATTTTTTTGTAAAAAAACGATATGTAGAACTGCCTCAAAGCCCAGGAAGTTGTCCATGTGTTTTATATGAGGAAAAACACTTTTTCATAGGAATGGTATAGAATTTTGCAAAATCAACCCCCAAAAACTCCAAAAAATGTAAGGGGGGCCCATAAAAAATATATATGTATAAAGTATAAAAAGTATATGTCGCACAATGGGCTATATGACGACATTAGACGGAAAAAATCGAAGTGGAATTTTGATGCTTTGATGATTCCACCTTGTTAAGAAATTTCCAATTACACAGAAAAAATTTTCCTTTGGTGTTTTAAAGCTCTTTTTATCAGTTTTTTTGTATGTCGAATTTGATGTTTTCAAACTTTGTTTTCTAATAATTACACAAATCAAATGGACATTTTTGAAAAGTGGTGTGTTGTTTATCACACTGGAATACCAGTGATACTATCACTCTTTTCAAGTGGCTGCTATTTGACTATTGTAGAACGCAGCCTACAAGATAGTGATGTATCAACAATAGCGTGGATTGGAAACTAGGCCTTTCCGACTACCTAGACCCTTAGATAATAAACAATAAACGAGCGGATTGGAAACTAGGCCTTTCCAACCGTGACGAAAGCGCGACTGGGTGGATCGGAAACTCGGCCTTTTCGACCACCCAGGAGATATCAATAAATGGAGTAACCCAAAAAGAATAGCGCGGATTGGAAACTCGGCCTTTCCAACCGTCTACATAACTTCCCGGAAATTGCATGCGTTTATATTGACATAAAATAATTGCAGTGATAAAGAAATAATGTTATTTAAAAATTTCCGTAGAGCATTTTGTATTTTTTATTTAATATTTAATATTTACATTTTAAATCTAAATCTAATTATAAGAATGTTATATCTTTGTTGCAATATAACTCTAACAGACTGTAAAAAATAAATAAATAAAAATAAAATAAAACGCCGAAAAGAATGTATTGGACATAGAAAACGATGTTTTTTTTATGAAATAAAAACAACTAGTATGTGATGATGAGCTACAGTAATGTGTCAAAATTAGGCGTTTTTCGTCAGAAAATATGAACAAAGTCGAACCTTTTTGGACAATCTAAACAATGTACTGTCATGTACTTTTCTTAAATTTTTTTGTGAGACTTAATGATTCCTACTTTTAGATGTTGCTTAAGCTAGACTTTGCACGACCCTGCGACGATGTCAAATTCCATATTATATGAAGCATAGTCTGTACGAAAAAATGATCATAGTTACCTAAGAGTTGCGACTGATGAAGCAGATGAAAGTTCGCAGATATAACTCAAAAAATATATATATAAACCAAATATGTAGTTATAAGTTATATATTCATAAAACAGTAATTGAATATATTAAACAATTTTACATTCAAACTTGAAATAGTGTTTTCTTTGCAGTGTAAAGCTTTAAAATTTATTTAAACTATATTCAACAATTTTTATTGAGCTCGAGGCCTTGAAAACTTATTGAGGAAAAGCAACAATAATTTGAAAAATGGTAGAAGTGATAGCTATTTCGGAAATCACCACATTTCCTCATCAGACTTCTTTCAGTAGGATTCGAACCGACGATCCCACTGACTCAGCCAGTTGCCTACACACTGTGCTAAGTTCGCCTTGTTAATTCTTGTTGCTTATTTCCCACTATTTCACTTGCTAAGCCAACTACAATCAAGAGCAGCTATTCCGCTGCAATTCACTTGATAGTGTGGTTGTTGGTTTTTGTTAATATTTTCTATTATTAGAATGTTTAACTTTTAGATGTGCTCATCCTTAAGTTATTTGTTTTTGTTATTTTATGGCCTTATAACAATTATATTCAACAATTTTTATTGAGCTCGATTTAAACTGTAAATACGTTTTTCGATTATATTGGTCTCAGAGCTTTTGGGAAGGTTAAAACTATATTTCCAACATCTACATAAACTCCTCTTTCTCTTCATCAGAATCGGTAGAAGTTAAGAAAGTACCTCGAAGGTGTTCACACGGAGTTTGTCAGGACTGGGCCAAAAATCAATATTTTTGCATCACACGTTTGGGTACCAAGTATTCAAAAGATGAAGCAAATGGGACCACAAATAGGATTCTTTAGGATAGCTCTCAATCCCTGAGCCCCCTATCGGAAGAAAAGTTCTTCTAAAAACCTTTTCACAAAATACATAACAACCATTCCATGTGATTTTGAAATCTGGGAAAATATTCTTCCCAATTGAATGATTCTTGCCATTTTCAATGTTTGTAGATGTAGGTGTATCCATAACCTTATCACAAGTAGTTCCAGAGATAATAAGTGATATGGAAATTGCATTTTGTATGGGAGGTGCCACATCCCCCTTTCCAATACAAACCACTTTTCGCCATAAGTACGTTAGCAAAAGCGGTTCCAGAGATAAGCGATATTTGAAATTCGGTTTGTATGGGAGATTCCACGCCCCCCTTCCACCTACCACTTATCGCCGTAAGTACGGTATTGTTAACATATGTAGCTGTTTAAATTTTCAGGATGTTAGCAAAAGCGGTTCCAGAGATAAGCG